TCAGAACTAATACAACTTCCAAGATACGTAAAACGCTCCACAACTTCCAGTACCTCTCCCTGGATTGTAAGTGGCGTGTTCAGTGACTGCATGTCCACAAGCATGACCTCACACATGTGCTACGTATGCCCAACCGTTGTATACGAATGATTGTTGGCTAAAGGTTCTCGGGGGACGTGCCACGATATGGCAACGCAAAATGAAAGGGGTTGCTGTCAAACTGACTGCTGTGGGATCTTCGTGCCTTCCTGGACGAGGTCCACGTGATCTGCTTGTAGGTAATTGGAAACCCCGCAATATATGGCGTCCAAACGATCTTAGTGGCACGCATGATATCATTTCCCAGCCGCACTGCTTAGCAAAAGTTCTGTCGTTGTGCATTGGGCTAAGGCCGGGTGAGGTTTGCAGAGGATAACGGGTTGACCCCACTGGTGGTGCCTTAATTTGTGCTTATTCCAATGCTGTAGAAAGGTTTATACACCCTGTCCTTGATCCTTTTCTTCAAGGACATAAGCGTCTTGCAGGAAGTCCATACCCTTACCTTTTCATTCTCTATTAAGGCCTTTTCTCCTTGTGGTTTTATGGCGGTGTGTATTTTTAGTGTAATACGGTCAGTGATGATGGGTTTCCAGCTAAGCTGCTTACCGCATGTGGGTACGCGTTACAGAATGCTCTAAGGTCTCTTTCAATGTAGCGGAACATTAATTCGTTTGGGGACACTTAACCAATTCACAGTTTAAACCAAGTGGGGATGGGGATAGAGGACTCCATCTTTATCTCTCCACGGCGACTGCCAAGGTGAGCCTCAGTCGTAAGCTAATAGACCATAGCGAAGCACAAAGCCTGTTGAATAAACTGACCGCCATCATACCATCTTTTGGCATGCGTCTTGCACCTTCAAAGTGCAAAGTCCTGCTTCAGAACGTGCTATCTGCGAACATATCCCTTACAATTCACGGAGAACCACTGGAGCTTGTGGAAAGCTTTACGTACCTCGGTAGTTGTATTAGCTCTGACGGAAGTGTGTCTGATGAAGTCAGT